TTTTGATCAAGCCAAGTTATACTGCACTTTGTTGATTGTATTCGTTGACGAGTGTTGGCAAGTTTTGTTATTTCATCGCTGGCGCCGTTTTTAATTTTCTTTGGCTGACTAATCAATAGATTTGTCTGTTTCTAATTCTGTTTTTGTTCTTTTATTATTAGTTCATTTTTTCAGTAGTTTTATTTTAGCAAGAAGTTTGTTGTTCTCGTCGAATTAGAGGTACTTAAGGCTGGAAGCACGGTTGTCAAACCGATCGGAAATCCGACTCCTCTGAAAGAGCTCGCAGCCCGAACCACACCACCGTCAACGGCGAACACGACCCAGGAGTTTTCCCGAAGTATACCGAGCTCCACTTCATCCATGGGTCAAGGTAGTGTGCTGATTTCTTAGCTTATGCAAATCTGCCTGAGGTTATCTAGTTATCTAATTAGAACATTATTATAATGGAGAAATTTTTCTGATCGTATGGCTGGATTAGGATTTTGTTTTGAGGCGACATAGTCGAGGTAACACTGACCAAGGGCTGTGGCACTGATAACTGGGTATAATAAAACGAATAGACGTAAATTCAACCTAACACGGTTTGAGACGTCAGTTTGATTTGAGAACAGAACAATGCAAGATTCAACTAGCACTTGAAGCGCCAAAATATCCTGTAACTGTAGCTTGCTAAATTGCCTCCTTCCTATGAAATCCGATGTGCGGAGATGTATTAAGCTTTTGGTACTACACTGCGATGTACTGAACGTATCTATCTTAATGTCGTGGTAATATTGCTACAACATTAAGCACTTTACATTAATCTGTTATACTCAAGTCAGGTGTTTTATATTTCTTCGCTGCCCTACGATAAATGCCTGATAAAATGCTTGTGCATGGGAAGCCTTGCATAGTGGGTGTGACACAGAGTCACTAGATAGAGTTTGTTTACCAAGCTGCATAGACTTTCTTCATCTAGTACGCAGCGAATGCAGAACTGCTATATTTTCAAATTTGATCTAATGGAAATCGTCCACTGCAGAACAGTGCCTGAAAGCACTTTATTCAGGCAGAAGTTCTTGCTGTTTTGTACGTAACCTTTACTGCTGCAGCGAAAACCATCACTTTTGCTTAAAATTCTTTTGGGGCATTGTAAATCTGGACTATCTTGCTGATAAAGCTTCAGATGATGATGACTTAATCTTAACACCATAACGCCACTCATGGACATTACTACAACTTTGAGTGCTTTTCAACACTGATTTATTATTACCAGACCAAATCTAGTATTTTTTTAATTAAGACGTTATGCGACCTTCATGATATCTTTGTCAAATTCTAAATTTTTCGACGTGCTTGAGCAACAAAGCATGAGTTCATGTTTTAAAATAAGGGAAGCTTAGATGCTGTGCAATTCAATTCCAGAAGAATGGTGCCATGAATGACAAATCATGTGATTCTATCGTTGGTAGTACCTGATCCTGTCATTATAGTGACTCTCTGTCTTCAGGGCCATGAGGAGGGATACAGAAGAACGTCCGCATGAATAATCGTCGCCTTGCATGACGAAACATTTACAGTCTTAATATGTTTGGCTAAATCCAGAGACGATTTCTCCCTA